TTGTCTCTGAGTAAATACTATGAAGACAATGATACACAGTATATTAACTATTGTTATTCTCATTTTGTTTTATTTTATTTGTTTATTTTGGTACTGGGGATCAACCTCGGGTCCTTGGACTTGCAAGGCAGGTGGGGGAACCTCTGAGCTAAATTCCTGGCCATGTTTTACTTTTTATAAAATAAAAACATTAAATTTTTTTAAAGAATCCAAGTTAGAGAACAACATAGCAATATCAACTTTCAGGCAACAATAAAATATATCCATGTAATTAACCATATCAATAAGTCAAATTGAAAAATCATAAAGTGTCTCCAGAGAGCTAAAAAATGATCAAATAAGAGTCACACCCACTTGTACCTCAGTTTGTCTTGGACTAAAGGGTTTCCCAGGACAGTACTTTCAGGGCTAAACCAGGAGAGCCTCAGGCAAAAGGGACAAATTGGACACACTAATTTCTGTACAGATACAAAAATGCTTCCTTATCAGTAGAGCTAGACATAGACATGGCTGTAGATTGACACTATACATCTAAATCTAGACAGCAGTGACATACAATTGCTGCAAATATCAATAAAGTCAGGGAAAGTCAGTGACGTCCACTGATCGCACATTATCTCAACATTATTATGAAGGTATTAGCTGGTATATTTATGTAGGAATACCAATCAAAGCATAAAAATATTAGAAAAAAGAAAATATCATGGCTGTGATCTGCAGATAATATAACTGTATACCTGGAAAACTTCAGAGAATCAACTAATTTCAAATAATAAAAGACAACTAAGGCATTTGGGTATATAATAATAACAAAAAATAGATAATACTCCTAAAGAAAAACAGTAAACTCTTAGAAAAGAGAAGAAAAGGTATCCTTGACAAGGGAAATGAAAATATAAAATATTTAGAAAAAGTTTGAATAGAATTGATTCAATTAATAATATATGCAAGATGCATGAAGAAAATCTCACTGAGGTAAATAACAAAAAGAAAAACTGCAGAAATGAATATGTATACTCTGTCCTTGTACCAGAAGACTGTCAATTGTCACAAAAGTAATCTACAGAGTATCTGTAATGTGAGAAGAATAAAAATACCCACAGGATATTCTTTTCAAAACTAGGCAGACTGAATTTTGAAATGTCTCTGGAGAAGCTGGAGTCTAAGGTTTGGAACTGTGCAACACAACAGAGCTCCCCAAAATCAATTGTTATTCATCTCTCCCCAAAATACCCATCCCAGCACTGGGCCCTTTCCTCTTCCTGCCCCCTCCTCTTTTTGTTCTCACTGCCCACGTGCCTGCTGGTTTTTCACAGTCTTCTCAGGCTACCCCTTCAGGTCTCGTGCTTTTTCACTTCAAGTCATTTAATCTGTGTTTTCAAATTCTGTTCTTTTTCTTTTAAGCATTCCTGGTCACGGCAGAAGGCAGGGAGCCAGGGGTGCACCAATGGCTCTTTTTTATGATGAGGAATGGGAGGAATAAAGGAGAAAGAGGGAGAAGAGGAAGAGAGGGAAGCAGAGGAAAACCACAAATAGCATGTCCAATCCTTCACTGTAACATGCATATTGCTATAGTACTTTAATAAACAGTGTATGCCAACTTCTCAAATAGTAAGTACTATAATATTAGCCATAACTTTCATAAGACAGTCAACAGAAAATAACAATTATGTATAGAGTCTAGAGTTTACAAAGCATTACAATAAAACCAACAAGGTATGACAGGTTCCGTTTTTCCCATTTTATAATGAGGAGTGGAATCTAGCAGGCTACATGACTGACAGGTACCCATATCACAGAGCTTAGTCTATAGAAGGAGCATCAAAGTAGGAAGGGTGGGGGAAAGGTAATAAGGGAAAAGAAAAAATATGAAAAAATGGAAATAAAGTGTTTGTAAATGGGAAGGGGAGGAGGGGGTGAAGGGAGGGCAGGGACAAGGGGAAAAAATGAGAACCAAGACCTGTCATGTAAAGGTACAAGATCCCAATAATGAATGTAACTGCACTGTATACCTAAAATGTACCAATGAACTCAATGAGAGAGAAAAAAGGAGCTCAAAATATGATTTTTTAAATATTTGCTCAAACTATTTAATGCTGAATTAATCCTTTTGGGGAGGACCTGACATTGAGAAGAATGAACCTAACATTTGTGCATATATTAACATTAAAGTCCCCCATGGGGATAGGGGATTAGAAATAAAATAAGAATCTTTTAGAGAATAGCTAAGAATAGAACCTGCATGTTGAGTTGTTGTTGCCGCAGAGAGCTAAGAGCATCTGCCTGAAACTAATTAGAAACTCCCTATCTCTAGATAGAACAGGTACAAATTTCAAAACCTAGAAATAAACATAGCAATACCCTTTCATGCACCAACATGTACATAAACTATAACTTTTCTGTGATTGGACCACGTTGTCATTCTTTCCATCTCTCAGTTTTTCTCAGACCTCATACTTTACATCATCTTTTTCACCTTTGTAAAACTGCAAACAGGATCCAAAAACTTGACCACCCCTAGAGGGCTATCTGTAGGTTACCTATTGCCAGTGATAACAGCCGCATTACTTGTGAATAACCCCACATTCCTGTTGCTGTGTCTGTCAGGATTTGCCAAGTTTTGCTGAGGCAACAACCTCAAAATCTTTGTGGCTTCAGACAATAAAGATTATTTCTCACACAAACAATAAGTTTCACGTGGACTGGCTAGACTTTACTCGTTAGAATTATTCGGGAACCCAAGCTGATGCAAAGTCCATCTGAATTCCCATTTGAATGATCAGAGAGTAGAAGAATGTACATCTAATAACTCAGGTTTAATTCTGAAAGCTCCTGCCAGGAAGTGATGCCTGTCACCTCCACTTATAGCTCATGACTATGGCAAATCACATGGTAGATCTGAGTGCAGCATCCTAGAGAAGTAAGGATGGGACACTGAATGTTTTTGAGCAGTATTACACTCCACCCAAATTCCCTTTGTTCCAAGGAGAGTGGTCAGGCAAACTCCTGCAAGACCACATTGCTAAGAGGGAATCCAGTGCACTGGCCACATTTGCTCTTGGATTTTCAACCAGGAGGTATTTGTTCTAGCTGGAAATTTCTGACCTCTTGGAAAAGAGATGAGAGGAAAGCAAATATGTATGAAGTGTTCTATATTTCAAAAGCTTTGTTTTGGTGTGAAAAGGCCAAATTTGGACAAGGAGAAAGAAGTAAATGAATACATTGTGTCTCAACATTTCTCAAGCTTCCAAACACAAATGAGTGAGTAAAGACTAAATATCTCAAATATCACACAAGTATTCAGATTCAAGTTAATTCATTTAGTCCATGCAAGTTACAAAAATCACCATGGCTCTAGATTTTCTTTTTATCTTAAAACTGGTCCACTAACACTGATCTATTCCCATTTTTATGATTTTTCCAGGAATTTTTAAGAAGCGACGTCTCCTGAAATTTTATTCACTGTCCTCTGAGTTTATGTATATTTATTCTTCATCGCTATGTTATACTGTCAGTGTCATATTCTTTGTTACTTTCATATAAAATAATTTGCTTTTTATCTCAATAAGTTCACTGAATTAAATGTGTATGTGTGTGTGCATGTGTGTGTAAGGTATATACAGATATGGAAATAGTGAGCAAGAGAGTGTGCGAGAGAAAGGGAAGGAAAGAAGGAGGAAGAGGAAGGGGAGAGAGAAAACAAATAAATAAATGAAAATTCAATAAATGCTTGTCATTTTGACAAGTAGAAATCATGACCCAAACTAAAATAATGAGGAAAATTACAACTTTATATAACTATATGGTTTTTAAAGCATGTAATTCTATAAAATAACTATAACTATATAACCACATAGACTTTCAATATAACTAAGATCCAGAGGCAGGCGGAGTTTCCAAGTTATTTCAGTCAAGAGTCTAACAATGTCATTGAGAACACAGATGTTTTCCATCCTCTGGCTAATGAGAAGGTAATGACCACCTTCTCTCCTTGTCAGAGACCAGTAAAATTGTCCCTAGAAGTACTATAGTGCAATTCTCTCTCATACTGTACCAGCCGTAAGTGTCCATTCTTGAGCCTTAGGGCAACAATGGGCGAAGAAAGTATGGACGTAGGCTCAGAATGGATGTGAAGACCCGGCTGCAATGGCCATCGCAGGTGCAAACTACGGGGAGATTCTACTTGAAGTCATTTCCCTTCTCTGGGTCTCAATTTATCCATCTGTAAAACAAGGGGCTGAACTGATGGTTTTCAAGTTTCATTCTATTTCTAATATTCAATGTTTCACAAGTCCTTAAGAAAAATAATATACAATGCAAATAGCATTATCGCACTGACCTTCAAAATTGCTAGATGTCAGATGTGTGAATAACCCTATCTCAGGCAGTTTTGGGGATAATCCCGAGAGGTAATGCAATAAAAGGACCTTGTACTATTGCTGTCACATTGTAGTTACTCAATAAATGACATAATAGTCATAGTTATTGTTTTTTCTATATTTGAAGAAAATCATATTTCTAAGAAAACTGAAGGACTAATACATAGCGAACAAGGAACTAATTTTTCAAAGAAAAATAAAGTAATTCCCTCTGAGTTTTTAATTTTGTTTTGTTCTGTTTGCTTTGTTTGGGTAAACCTTTCACTTAATTCTTTTAAAGTCATCTTTTGAACTGAAAACAGCTTCATGATTTTCAAGACGTTTCCAGAAGGGATATTACACTATGATTGCTATACCCTTGTCACTATTAACAGTTATTTGCATCCAAAGAGGAAAACATGTCATTTAAATTCCAGACACTGAGTGTATAATTTATGTTTCTAGGAGTCCAAGCATGTTTCTTTATTGTTCAGTGAACTCCCTGTATTTCAGAAATTACTGATGCATCAAATTATTAACATTTAAACAAATGATTTTCAACTCAGTTTTCACTGCCATCTTTTGGCTCAGATGCAATGGCTAATGGTTCAACTAAGTAACTGCACTCACTGTATCCACTAGGAAAGAGGTCTTGGCCCTTCACCTACAGGAAGCAGGGCACACTTCACGTAAGAGCAGGGAGCAATCACACGCATGAACACCCTGGAGACACACCCTCATTTCGGTAAGGACTATTTGTAGAGCACTGCATGTCAGCCACTTTTGAAAATAACTACTGCAAATGCAAATTTAAAATAATTTCAGACTGGCCAAAAAAAGAGATGAATAAACTGTTCCACCCAGTAAAAAGAACCTGGTTCATTAAAACTAGGAAAGTTCTAGTGGGTTGCTTTGTTTCGTTTTTGTGGTCCTGGGGATTGAACCCAGGGTCTTCGACTGAGAAACATCACTGGCCCTTTTTTGAGATAGCATCTTGCTAAATTGCTCTGTTGCCCAGGCTGGACTCAAACTCGCAATCCTCCAGCCTCAGCCTCTCAGAGTGCTAGGATTACAGGCTTGAGACACCACACCCAGTTACCCAATTGGTTTTAAAAAGTAGGAAACTAAATCTTTGATGTGAGAGGATTCTATTTCAGCCCCAGTGGGCTTAAATAATTCCGAATAATTCATGTGGGACTGTCATGCTCAGTACAGAAGGTGCGGGTCCTAAGTACGCAGGGATTTAGAGGAAAGCTATTTGCTTATGGCTGAGATCATAAAGACAGAGCCTCCAGAAGACCTGACAGATTTTCTGATATCCTGAGAACTGAAACCAACACATTTTACTGCTCTTATTCCAAACAATTTCTGGGAACAAACATTTCTTCTTTTTCATCATCAACTGCATGGAGGAACATTTATATCCAACATACTTTGCTTCTTCAGTGCTAAGCATTACTAGGACTGGGCAAAAACCAACTTAGCTGCTTGGTTCAGTAAATACTTGTACCAAGGAGATGAGACTGAAATAATGAAATGGTTTACTTTTTGTAAACTAATAACTGGATCATCAATACACACACCTCAAACTCTCACTGTTATATGATATAACATACAGTGTCATAAACTCTGCCCAATACCAATTATTTTTCACCTTAAAACCACCCATCCCAAGTCCTAAACCCAGTAAGTGCCACCTTGACTTCCTCGGTAGAGTTTATTGCTAACATTCTGCCAAGTCATTGTTCTCTCTAACCACAGTGAGTCCAGTAAACTTAGCTTTGCTTTATCAACAGGCTTTTCATTTGTTTGCTGCAGTTCTGGGGATTGAACCCAAAAGGCACTGAGCTACACCCCCAGGCCTTTTTTTAAAATTTATTTATTTATTATTTTTATTTTGAGACAGGATCTAACTAAGCGGCCCAGGTTAGGCTTGAACTTGTGATCCTCCTGCCTCAACCTCCCAGGGTGCTCCCGCCACACCTGGTTTCCACAGGCTTCTCTAGAGGTCTTTTTGGAACACTGACGGCTGACAGTATTTTCCTATAGGAAAAAAAATCTCGGAGAAGATACCACAGAGCTGATGAAGAAAGCATTTTTAATCCTCCATCCTAATAAATTTCCTTTTTCTAGTCAATCATAAATAAGAAGCTATTGTTTTCTACATTCAGGACATCATGTCGAAATGTCAAGTATAACGTGTCCTCCCGGGCCTACCCAGAAACCCTTCCCACAAATAAAGGCCTGAGAAGCTGGCCCACACGCACAGCCCATGTGTGTTTCCTGCTGGCTGAGTGGAGCTGACCTTAGTGCCAGCAGAGCCTCCAGGAAGGAGACCCCTGAGGACTCCGAGACAGGCAAGGTGCTGGGCCATTCTGCTTACACTTCCCTCTCATCGTTTCCCTCAACATGCTCCTCCTCCACTCTCCTCCAGGCCCCTCTATGAAGCCAGAGCATGCCTACTGACAATCCATGAATATATTTGATGAGTTTGCTTCTCCTTTACACTGCAGGAGACAATAAAAGACGTTTGAAAGAAAATCCCATTAAGTATTCAAAGGATGGCAAAGGCCATTTGAGACCTAAATAGCTAATCCTTTGTCATTAACCTGTCCTTCCTCCCAGCCATTTAAATTCTGCCCAATCGTATCCAATAGCTATTTATTCACTTGGATGCTTTCCTCAAATGCCAAGACAGCATTGAAGACTTTCCACGAGGAAATCCCTTTGAATATTACTTCTGTATTTGTTCTGAAAAGGCAACCAACAATTAAAATTCTCCACGATTTCATGAGTATGAAACAGAAAATGTCAAAAGCACATCTAGAGACACTTCCAGACTCTTTCCTCAGTTAGGCCCATAACTAAAAGGACAAAGCGACTTAATAAAACCAAATAGACCAGCACAGTATAAAACTTAATCTCACACAGTACTGCTCTTCAAAGTACCACCCACCATACCTTCAAGTCCTAGATACCTCTCTCTAACTGCCCCACCCCAACCCTGCACTTACGGCTACTATTTAGCACTTTGATTTGGAAACAACTGCTTGGGTTCAGTTCTTAGCTCTGACACCAATAATGAGAATTTCGAAAAGTTACCAAATTCTTCTTTACTTCAGTTTCCCATCTATAATAGTGAAGCTATCAATATTGCTACTTCATAGATTATAGGAAGTATTAAATTGTAATAATAGTTTGTTTAATAATGCATGTGCTGTTTAATAAAATATGTTCAGTTGTACTCCCTCATAAACGATCCCTAAATCTCAGTGGTTGAACTTAGCAAAAATTTATATTTTTATTCATGCTACATGTCCAAATAGGATCATTAGCTTCTCAATAGGTGCATATTAGAAGAGAATGTGGCAAAAGTCACATGGCTTTTAAAGACTCCACCCAGAAATGACTGATATCAGTTTCACTCACTAACATCTGCTGGGCACACAGCTATGCCTGCTTTCAAAGGCTGTAGGAGAATATAATCCTATCATGTCCCTGGAAGGGGAGAAACCTAACATATTTTTAAAAGGCATTAGGATATACTTGAAGCTATTGTCAACATCAATATCATTGTGGAATGTCAGAGCTAGAAATGATCTCCAGAGCTTTACTCCATTGTATTTGTTTATTCACCAATATTTGTATTCATAATTCTTCAATTTTTATTGCGGGCTGTTTTATAATAAAAACCTGTCTCATATTTTTCCTGGGTATCTAGGAGGATGCTTCTAAACGCTTGCAACTGCTCAAATGATATAAATGTATCTGCTCTTCATGGTGGGCTCCTGGAACCACATCAGGATTCACATAATGAAATGACATGGGCTGCACTCCTAGATGGCTTCACAGTAAGAGCTGACTACACTACAAAGACCGACTGTGTGACTGGGATTTGTGGCTTTGAGCCACATGATGTCAATTCAACCTCCAAGAGGGGGAGGAGGCTAGAAATTGAGTTCAAACTCATGACCAATGAATCAAGTAATCATAGCTGTGTAATGAAACTCCTCTACAAACTCTGGGCACCAAAGCTCAAATATACTCTCCTGGTTGTTCGTTATAAATCAACACGTCATGGGGATTCCCATTCAGATTCAACAGGGAAATCATATGTGTGCTCCATGTTTGATACTGTGTCAGATTTTGTCCTATGGGTCTCCTCTTTTGAATGGTCCTTATTAATATCCTTTATAATGAAAGTGTAATGTAAGTATAGCAGTTTCCTGAGTTCTGTGAGTCATCTTAACAAATTATCAAACATGAGAATATAGTGGAAGCCCTAAATTTGCACCTTGTTGGTCAGAAACGCAGTGGCCAGAGAACCCCTGAATTGTGAACGGTGTTGAGGTGAGAGCAATCTTGCTGGACACCAATGCCTTAATTTGTGAAGTCCGTGACTCTAGGTGCCTAGAGTCACAACTGTATTACACAAGCCTAACACATGAAAAGTTCCAGAGATAGAGATGTTAATAAAATAAGCAGAGTTTCTAGTCCCATAGACTTCATGGTCAAGAGGAGACATGTTCTTTAAAAGTTTTTTTAAAATAATAAAAATATCATTTTACACTTAGTACTTTTAATGTTTAAAGAAGACAGGCTTTGTGAGAAATAATAACTGGCCACAACTGGTGTCCTTGAGACTAAATTTTGCCCAAAGATATGATTTGTTCAGATCAAGATTGCATTAGTTGCCAATCTTTAAAACATAGAAGATTTAACACAAAAATCTAGATTTTCTGCTTTTCCTGAAAATTGTGAGATCTGGTGATTCAAGACCCCCTAATCCTCCCCAGAAACTACCTCCTCAGAGAAGCAGATACTCCCTGGTTCCCCACAGTTCACACCCATCACCTTTATTGATTTAGGTCACCTGGCATCCACAGGCACTGGCTCTTTGCTGCTATTCCAAAACAATATGTTTGTTTTTAACAGTGTGGGGTACTGAGGTGCATACAAAGGAGTGACTTACACACATTCAGAATGCTAGTTTGTAGAAAAGCAAAGACCACAGTGCAGGTCCTTGAGGCCCAATCCCAAAGTTTCTTCTACCACACAAAGCCATAATCAGATCTATATTGGGGCCCCTTGTCCTCTTAAAAATGTAAATACTTTTACCATAAAGACATCTCACAAAGTTCCTACCTAGGATTCCCTGTCTGGGTCTGTTTGAGGTAAGATAGAAGAAATAAAGATAGTTAGAAAGGAGATAAGAACAAATCATAATTCTAAAATTGTACTTTTGCAAAGACTGCAGTTTCAGAATACAAAATTACTTAAGGTTATCTATATCTGTACTCAAAATCTCTATTCCCCAGCTTGGTTTTTTGCTTTTGTGTTTTTGTTTTTGTTTTTGTTTTCCTTCACAGGCTCACTGCATCAAAATCCCTTACAGATACTCTAAGTCCATACATTAACCAAGTTTACAAAGTAAAAGACAGCAACTTGACCTGAAACAGATTCAAAAGGTCAACGAATGTTTTTAGACAAACCATCTGTATCCATTAGGGTTCTCTAGAAGAACAGAATGGACTGCTTTTATTATGCAAGGGTAACTATAAGGAAGAGTTACAGGATCAGTGGTGGTAGAGTCCACAGTGGCCACCTGCATGCCAAAGAGCTGGAGAATCCAGTAACGGTTCAATTCAAGAAGCTGGACACTACACAGCAAAGGGGATCAGAGATACAGCACCAGTTTGAGACTGAAGGCCTGAAAGCTCCCTAGAAAATTGCTGGTAAGAGTCTGCATTGGGTGGCTGAAGAAACTGGAGTCTGATGTCCATAGGCCATGGCAGCAAAAGACAAACCTGCTCACTGGAACTCTTTAGAACACATGCCAACTTCCTCCTTTCCCTTTTAGTCCAGCCAGGCTACAAGTTTATTGGTTGGTGCTACCCACAACTAGGGTGGTTCTGCTCCGTGTGCTGACCAGAATGTCAATGGTCTCTAGATACGTGCCACGGACATACCCAGAACTGTTCTTTTGTAATCTTCTAGTCAGTTCTCATCCAGTCATGCTGACATATATCAAGATTAGGGTTCACAACATCTTAGATTACCCATATAAAAATATACAATAGATTAGGCCCATGCCTTTCTCCTAAAAAAAAAAATATGGCTTTTTACTTATAAATTGACCATTGCCTTTTATCTGTAAACTATGTCCCTGTTTTCTGAAGATTGACAAATTCTGAAGATTGTCACCTTTAAAATCACATATTTCCAGCTCCAGATCAGAATGTGCCTCACTCCCTTGAGCACCTATAATCATCTTTCTGTATGTTCTCCTATAATTCTATCAAATTTCTATAATTTGATATAGAGATTTCTATAAATCTCTATAATTATCTCATCCATGAGACCTGAAATTCTTTCCTGTGAGAAAGGTCAAGAAACTACCTGATGGGCTAATGCTGCCTCATCTTCGAGGAAAGCCCTTGACCCCTATCCCGTAACATGCTTACCTTGGTCAGATGCAGATCTTTTCAGCGCCTCTCACTCATCATAATGCACCTCATCTTACATCAATCATTTTCTTCTTCATCCAGTCATATAAAACTTGTGCCATTCAGGATGGGGGATTGACAAGGTCCATAATTACTCTCCCGCAACAAGAAAACTGGGGTAAAGAAAAAACAGAACGGAAGCAGTTCAGGTCTGTGATCTCTGGGAGAAGGGAAATAAATGAGGAAGGACCTACAGTCGCCCCATATTTGCGCCCAGAGGCAATCTCCAAACAGCAGTACGGGGTCAGGAACTAAAACAGAGCCTATAGTCTCGCTGAGTTGATGAGGCAGAATACCAGAATTTGGAAAGGTGGAAAAATCTAGAATTTCTGGTCTTAGATTCACCTGGCACTAGGACTTACCAGTCTTCCCTATTCATTGTAAGAAGAACTCATCAAATATATAAGAAATTCAGGAGAAAATGCAGAAGGCCTCCCTGTCTTAGTATGGGATTAAAGGAATCTGAGAGTAGTTTTTCTCAATTGGATGGTGAGTTGGTAATATTTTCCCACATTTTGGGCTGTCGAAACTTGGGGATTGCTGCTGGCAACTAGTGGGTAGAAAGCCAGAGAAGCTGTTAAACATCCTTCAATGCACACATAGTAGCCCAAAACAAAGAATCATCTAGCCAAAGTGTGAATAATGTTTAGGCTGAGAAATAGAGACCTGCAGAAAATTAGACTCACCCTGAAGAAACTTTAAGAGAGTCCTCTGAAATTTCAAACTAATGCGCAGTAAATTTTAACACTTGCCAAAATAATATCCAACATTCTTTAAAGAGTACAAAGAGCCCAATACTGAAAAAATAAAGTTTACAATGTTATCATTTAATCAAAACATTATCAGACATATGAAGAAATAGAAAAATGTGCTCCATCACCAAGGGAAAAGCTGTCAAAGAAACAGTCTAAAAAACAAAAGACATGATGGAGTTACAGAGACATTAAAACAGTTACAAACATACTCCCTGAGGCCGCAGGGGTGAACTCAACCAACAGGCCTCATGGAGCTGACACTCCAGAAGAAAACATGGACATTCAAAAAAAAATGTATGTTTAAATAGAAATCAAAATAAATACTGTTAATGGAACAATAAAAAGTGGTACAGGAGATAAAGTAAAAACTCTTCATATAGAGATTCAAGGACTGAAATGACATTACGCCAAGATCTGAAGGATAAGCAACAGGAAGGCAGCTGGGCCAGCGAAAGAACAACCTCTGGCAGGAAGTGCAGATGACATAGGAAAGAGACGAGGAGGTTTATGAAATTAAAAGGCCAGCATGGGGGGAGCGCAGCAGGAAAGTGAGAAAGAAGCACAAGATAGTGAGGACAGGTGGGGGTGAAGACACAAGATGTGATGAAACCGGAAAACTCTGAGATACAATTTAGATTTTCCCCTAGTTCACTGGGACACCTCTGGGACAAAGGTTTTCTTCCTTCGTACTGAAATCACCCAGAAATTTTGAAAAATACTGATTCTGTGTCCCAAGCACAAAAATTCTGATTTAATTTATCTGGGGCACAGCCACAGCACTAAGAATTTTTAGATCTCTCCCAGGAAGTAATTCTAACAGGCAGCTAGTCCGGAGAATCACTGCACTGGAGTTTTAAACAGGCAAGTGATATTGCTTGGTCTTGAAAGTTCTGTAACACCAACTCCATACTAATTATATATTGGTTTTTGGTTCCCTTCCTCCTAGGAAACAAGCCTTCGCTGAAACTTTCTTTATGAATGACATCAGAAGGATAAGAACAAATTTCACTGCTGAGAACAGTGACACAGTATTTGGGGAAATGTTTCTGTCTTCTCCTTCAGATTCAATGTACCTTTTGTGGTCCAAACCGAGTCAGTCTGGAATAGAGATCATCAAGCAGATCGTATTCATCTTACCCCTCTTACCTGCGTGGATGACTATTGTAGCTTGGCACTCAGCCTCCTGGATTCTTAGCTAGCCTGCATGTCCACTCCTCTTTCAGGCCGAAAAAGAAATCTATCCCCATAGACTCAGTGCCTCTGCACTCTTTCCATAGTTCCCTGTATTGTGAATTCTTTTTTCTCCATTACCATCCTAACCAGGATCCCATGTACTCTTTTTCTCTTCAGCTTAGGTTGATCAGTCATTTATTTCTATGCTCTGAGGACTAAGAGACGCTTCTTTTTTGTTTGTTTATTGTGTTTTGAGACAGGGTCTTGCTGTATAGTTTAGATGGGCTTTGACCTCACTATGTAGCGCAGGCTAACCTCAAAGTTCCAAAAATCCTCCTGCCTCAGCCTCCCTAGTGCTTAGAGTACAGGCATGCATCACTACACCTGACCTAAGAGAAGCTTCTTATCCTTCTGGGTGGACCTAAGGGGAGTCAGTAGATGAAGGAAAGCAGCCATTACTGATAGATTCATTGAATAAAGATCAGTGTCATCTGGGAAATAAGGAATGGAAAATATCAGCCACTAACTCAGACCTATGGCTCAGAAAGTCTATGGATGGAGCTCGGCAATCTATTTAACCAGGAGTCCA